CTGGCATATGTTTCTGTCATTTGCTGTAAACTAACCAAGAACCGACCATGATTAGCAAAGTTACTAAAAGGCACTCACAAACCATGCATTCCTTAGCATCCACTCCATACAGTGGGCTCCCTTAGCCAGGAAAGTAAGTTCAGATATGAATCCAATAAACTCCAAGGAAATTAAGGCCCCCTTTGAATTGGAGGGAAAATGGAGGAAAAACAAAGGAATTGAAATCCTACACTATTCATGCCTTTGATTCGTAGGAATGAGAAAAGGAAAAACGTAGGAAACTTTCCTACTCCTATAATTCTAGAGCAAAAACGTAGGAAATTTAACATCCACTCTAACCTCTTGGAAAACTTTCCCAGAGTCTATCTCTCTCATCTAATTCCTGCATTTTTCCTGTGGTCTAATCAAACGGTCATTCCTATATTTTTCCTGTGTTTTGCAATCCTCTGTTTTTACACTTGCATTCCTACCAAAATCCTGTGTTTTTTCTATTCCTCCCTTTTTTCAATCCTACGATTCAAAGGGGCCCTTAGAAAGCAGAGTAGTACTAATCCTTCGTCTTTGAGCTCCGGGCTCATGAGTGCTAGCTTTAGCCAAAGCTAGCTAAGCTATGCCGCCATACAAGTAACCGAGGAAGAAGAAAGAAAAGCAGATAAATTCCTCACTTGAACACCAAGGAATTTATATTATTTGAACTTTTCCAAAAACCGGGAGTGTCTCTCCTTTTCATTTGACTGGGAAATGAGAACAAGCTAGCTGTATGCTACATCTTTTGAGAGGTTGTTTTGTTTATTTTTTTTAAGTAGGTCTGCTCTAATGTTGAACAATCTCCGTTTATGATTAATCTCTGCAACCAACTTGTTACTTTTAATCAAAGTATCAAACTGAACATGTATATTAGATCAGTGTTGTCGTTTTCTAGAAAAAAAAATAGCACTATACTCTACAAAAATTTCTTTTACGAAATTTCACCATTTGCATTATATTCGACAAAAAAGGTACATGAGGGACATTCATTTAGAGCATCACCAATGGTGCCCCTACTCCATTCTCCATCCTGGAATTTTAGGATTTTCATCTAAAAACTAGTACAACAGATACCCTACTCTTTTTCCAAACTTTTGAAGTTATTGTCCCTGTAATATTCGCTCTCGTCATTTGAGAGGGAGTGACGCCGCTTCTCATGTTCCCAATCTCACATTCCCGTGACCCTTCTCTCCTTCCCTCATGAGGGGCGATCTTCTTCCATGTGAGGTTAGAGGAAAACGGGAGATTTCTGTTGGTAGTTCAATAGAATGACCCACTTTTTAGTTTTGGAAAATTAATTTTGGATTTTCTCTAGTTTTTTTACTTCCTACTATATCTAGATTAGAAAACCCAAAAACATAATTTTGGGATGGATTATTGCCAATCTGTTGATGATGATCTTAGGATCTTTGAAGAATTAGAATCAATTTCGCTAAAACAATGTAAAGAAAAATATGTGCCAGCATGTTTAAATAAAAAATGTTTTTTTTCATACCACCCTGCTTGCGACCAGCAAACCTTTCTTTATTTGTTTGTCATTAATTCCATTTTCTCCAACCTGTCCATAAATGAACACACACCAATAATTCAGACCTAATTGCTTCCGTTTCCTTGACACATTTCCCATTCGTCCTCTGGCTCTTCCTTTCAATTTGCTTTGCTAAAAAACTGTTCAGCAAGCATCCAATCGTCCGTATATTTATACCTTTGTACGTACGAATCCACTATCTTGATCTTATCAACTTGTACAGTTGTAACTGTGCAAAAGAACACAGATACTCCATTTTGATTGATTAATTAACTCACATGTGTACATAGTATATTTATACTTTACGCATCCGTATGATGCATATTGTTTCCTGAATCCTGACCAAGACATGGTCTTGTCGATTATAAATTTGATTTGATTTCGATCTGCCATGCGTGCCATGTGTGGGAACTGAAATTAATTTGCCGTATCATCCCGGTGGTAATTTCGCACCGGCGTTTTAGCGGTAATAAAGTGGCTTTAGGAGATGTTGTTTTCGAGCTGGCTAATGCAAAGCAAAGTAGGCACGTTACGATATACTCTGCAACGAACTTTAGCCACTTTTTACTCGCTTGTTGATCAGTTTGGTTTTCTAATTGCGTTTGATCAGTTGCTGACATTCTCTTATCACCACTTGCAGGGGGCGTGCTTTAATTTGGTATATATAATAATATAATTGAGTATTAGTGCCACAAACTTTATATTCTTTTCTTCGCAGCAGATGTTTATTTTTTCTTCTCCTAGCAGCTTTCAGCTTTCTTCATTGCATGCATTGACCTGATGTTGTGTACTTGTGTGTGTTTTAGTTGTGGTTCGCCTTGTTAACATTTGCAGCTGCTAGCCGCCGCAATTAGGACTGCTAAAATATCTATCCTCTTTTCAACTTAAAAAAAAGGATATTTGGAAAGAGGGGCGTCCCTCCAAATATTTTTTTTTAAAAAAAATTATGAGCATGTTAGAGATTACATACGGAATCTTGGATTGAAAGCACACACTTCTTACCACTGCACTGTGAAGTACATCTCCATCTTCCTTTTAACTCAGCTGTTAGGTTTCAACTTTTTAGTAAATGGAAGCTGTTAGGTATTCATATACAGTGAAGGAATATTCACCGGGCTATAGCATCACGGGATGAAGCAGTACATTTATTTGATGGATTCACCTGGTGAAAAGAGGCATGCACTTTGTATAGTCTTACTACTATACGCATATAGAGGCCTAGCTAGCTAGCAGGCCACTTTGAGTAGTACGTGTAACAATTGTTGGTGTACCAATGATCTTCGGAACATATGAATTTTGGAGAAAATTTACATGTTTTTTGTATGTACTGTGCCACTTCATTTCCTGAAGGATCAAATATGAAAAGCCGCATACAAAAGGAGACTCGACTTCTGAATAGGTTCACAATCCCATTACCGGACCGATAACCGCACAAGCGGTATCTCCGGTTTTAACGAAGGGGTTGTTTAGATTGTAACCAAAATAAATCTTACCAAAATTTTGACAATACCAAAATTTTATCAATTTGGCAATACTGCTAATTTTTGCCAGGATTTCTTATGTATTTAACAAATTTTGGTGAAAAAAAATAGATGCACATCTTTAGTAACTTTATCAAAAATTGGTATGGTTTGAAATATCATCAATCTGAACAACCCTGAAAACAATTAGTAAACCCGTAAAAACCAATGAAATTCAGATAAACTTTGAATAAACTGTAAAACTTAGTTTTTCTTTTAAAACATGATCAGAAAACTGAGTAGTTTCTCTTATCGAACCGTTCCGGGAATTCCAGTTTTCATGAAATTCAGGCTGATTTTTGTTGGGATTGTGAACCCTGATTATGAACTCAAACAAAAGAAAAAACAGGGGACTTAAGAAACCTAAAATTCCAGGGGCGCCTCGCTTGCTTAATTAGCGAGAGAAGCGACGGGACCAAAGTTAGCTTGGCACCACAGTACACCACACCAAATATGCATGGCAAAATCGTATGTATCCAGTAGTGCAAGGTGGACGTTGCAAGCACCCGTTTGTATATGTCGCGATATTTCAAGATTTGCAACTTGCTAATGGCACTGTGTGTTCTGCTTGGAAGCTTCCTGGAAGGCGACCGGACCATTAGTTATTTGTAGAGCTAGTGTTATAGCAACATAATCCTCTCTTCTGACTTTCACTTTTATTTTTATCGTGTAAATAATTGGCATCAGGAGTAAAGCTTTCCCTTCAGCTCGTATATTATTGTTACTATAGCTTCACTTTCATAATTGGTGGATGTATGCACTATAGTTAAATTAACTAGCACCCCATGCAATGGAATAAATAATTGATGTGAATTCGTCTAAGAAACATACACAAAGAGAAGAAAAGCGGCTGTGGTTTACAACTTGGAAGATGATCTGACCGATAAAAAAAAAATCGGGTGCCCTGCATCATTCCTCCCTATCGATGGTAAATGTGTGTGCCTAACTATTGCCACCATCGGGAATCCGCACCCAAACTCACCCCCATCCTAGCAACTGTTGAGACAAGCGCCCTTGCTCGCCTCCACACTCCCGTTCTTCCTTATTACTCATCATTAGGGTTTAAATTTTCGGTTTGACCGATTCTATTGGAGGTCATCGATATACTGAAATTTTCGAACTTTTGAATAAATATTACTCAAATTTGAACAAAATCTTACCAAATTCAAAAAAATAATTGCAGATGAAATAATATCGCATGGGGGGTTTGGAAATTTCATTCCGGAATTTCTAACCCTGCTCATCATTCCCCCAAGCAATTGTTGAATCCAGTCACACCAAGCTTGAGGGCTTTGGATCCTTAAGTACCAACCGCGAAGGAACGAGGGGAAGTCCGAATCAACGCAGGGCGATGTGCATGGCTAGGAGCCGGTTGGCATTGGGGTTAACCTGGTCTGAATCGGTGATGTGGGAGGGGATACTAGAAAGGAGGATGAAGCTAGAGTGGTACTTTTTGTGACCTTTCGACGTTTCAGCTAATGTATCAAAATGTTGTGGCATGGATTTCGATGGTGTTTCACACTTTTTGTCTTTGATGCATGCTGATATGTTGATGATCCAGTACTTGAAACATAATGTTTTCATACATTAGAGTAAAACGTTTCAAGTGTGATTCGATTGCTTCTCGTGATTTTAATACTTAATTGTATGATAATTTCTTCTGATGTTTCATGCTCAATAGGAAAAACTGTTGATAGGTTGATTACCAAGAGAGATCGAACAGGCAAAAATGTGTTCGCTCGCGGCACGATCGATCAATCCTCGCGATGGCGGCTCGAGCCACGCACCGTGACACGCGCGTACCGTTGCACCACCACCACCACCCGCAACTCGCAACGTTCCCTTCCCCTTTCCTTAGTTCTTAAGTCCCATCTACCACGTGGGCCCCACCCGTGCCAGCTCACCTCATCCCCACCACCACCTCCGGCCTCCTCCTCCTCCTCTATAAATACCGCCCCCACCTCCTCTTCCCATTCGTTCCATCCACCACCCACCCATCCAACACCACCCTTCTCCAAAGCTGCAAAATCCAAAGCGAGAAACCGCCATTGCCACCCACCTCGATTCCGCTCTCGATCTCAGCTCACTGCTGCATTGCGGCTGTCGCTGTCAGCTCGGATCGGCGCCACGGAGGCCACCGCGGACAGGAGGGCCGTGCAGCCGGCCGGCGGCGGCATGGAGCCCGGGTTCGGGAAGCGGCTGATGCACGTGCTGCGCGCGGTGTACCACATGCTGCGGCGCGGGCTGTGCCGGAAGCGCCTCATGATGGACCTCCACCTGCTCCTCGGCCGGGGCAAGCTCGCCGGCAGGGCGCTCCGCGACGTCCTCCTCGCCCACCAGCCGCACGGCGGCGCGGCTGCCGTGGCGGTCATGGGAGGCGGCGCCGGGGTGGCGCGGGGTGGTGACTCGTCGTCGTCGCCGCTGTCGGCGTCGTTCTTCCACCACAACCCCAGGGACGTGGAGTTCAGCTGCACCACCACGCCGTCCTACGCGCCGGGGGTCTTCCCCTTCAGGTTCCGCGGCCGCGGCGGCTCACGCCACGCCGGCGGCGGCGCCAGCAACTACGGCGGGCTCGACGCCTCCGCCGTGGCCCGCGTCTTCGAGATGCTCAACGCCGACGCCGCGGCTGCTGCTGGCGCCGGCGGGGAGACGCCGCTGTCGTCGATGCCCGGCGCCACGCCGTCCCCGTTGCTGGCGCTCAGCCTCGGCCGCAGCCCCGCCGGGACGCGGCAGCTCCGCGTCACCGACTCGCCGTTCCCCGTCGAGCCGCCGGAGGGCGCCGTCGACGGCCGCGTCGACGACAAGGCCACCGACTTCATCGAGTGGTTCCGCCGCCAGCTCCTCCAGCAGCAGGCGTCCGCCGCGCCAACGCCGGACTACCGTGGCTAGCCCGCCGACCGCCGCCGCCATCGCCGCCGCGGCATGGGCGAGCGAGCGCGAATACTAAAGCACGAGAAGCTTATATATATATATAAGGGACTATGTGGCGTCAAAATTGTTTCACTGACATGTGGGTTTCGAGTTTTTCTACCTGCATGGCTGCGTGTAATTTTTCCTCGGTTAATTAATTTCCTCGCTTGTGATAAATCTCTATATATGTAGAGTTCACGAGGAGACGAGATAAAAAAAAAAGTGGGCTTGCCGTTGCATTGCCCGCACAACTTGTATCTGCCATATCATGCATATGAGACGAAATGATAATTTTTGCACTTTAATTAAACTGGTGGCCTTTGCATGCTTAAATTAGTTTGTGTTAATTATTTCAAGTTTTTTTTTGTTGTTGTCCTTTTTTTTAGAGGTTTTTGTTGTTGTCCTATTCACACAAACTAATCGGAAGAAGGCTCGTTATAAATTAATTTTAACTTAGAAAAAATGGCTCGGTGTTAACTTATCGGTTTCGTACTTTTTCATTTAAAAATGCATTCCTTTTATTTATAAAAAAAAGTCTAAATACGATGAATAGCATGAGTGATCTAGATGAGGGGGACTCCGAATTACATCTTTGTATACAAGATTACAACTGACTAAACATAAAGGCACTAATGATATCGGTTTAACTTCGTCCTGAAATACCTACAGATAAATATATACTTTATATGTCCTAAAATAATTATAATTCTATGTAGCATATATTAAGAATTGAGTAAAGAAAACTATGGTGTCCCTTACTAGATATAATGTATAGGCAAGAGCGAGAGGGTGGTTAAGGGTAGAATTAAAAAAATAAATGATAAGTTATTGATGGAACAATTGATACTCTATTGTGATAACTATTTCGAGATAAATTTAAATTTTAAAATATAATTATTATAGGACAAAGGTATAACTACCTTGTTAGATACTAATCCTCAAGCATACGTACGGTGTATATGCGTTTATGTTGATTTTGATATGGAATCATCTATCGTGTCTGCAGGTAGTACGTGCATACATACGACTCGCACTTTCTATGGTTCCATTTCAAACCCCACAAAGGAGACAGAAACAGGGAAAAAAATTTAGAGTTTTGTTTTTCAGGTCAATCATGTGCATCAGTAGTTATTATCATCAGTTCATCACTACTAACTGCTCTTCGATTCGAATCAATCTCAATTACATATTTACATGCATGCAGCTAGCACCGCGGCTTAATTCATTTTCGTTGCATCAGCGTTGAACATTTTGGGCACACACACTTGCTCTGTGTGTTGGTTAATTTCAATATTGAAAGTGATTGTGCCAAGCTTATGCTAATCTCCTTCTTGTTGATAGTTGACATTATCCAGTATGTGGATTGAGCCTAGCATCGAATCGTTCTTTTTTAAAAAAATTCCTAGGTGTGTCAATTCTCAAACTGAGGCTGTGTTTAGTTCCTGAAACTGGAGAGAAGTTTGGAAAAAGTTGGTAATTTGGGAAAAAAAGTTGAGAGTTTATGTGTGTAGGAAAATTTTAGATGTGATGTGATGTGATGGAAAGTTAAAAGTTTGGGGGAAGTTTGGTGTGAACTTGTCACGCCCCGAGCTAGTCCCGACTGGAATTAGCCCGTGACGCTCCAAATTAACCTGTTAATCGATACCAGTCCCAGGAAACAGTGCTGGTATCACAGGAAGATAGAATATCACAGCAACAGAGGTCTCTTTATTATAGAGTAGGAGTACAGTCATGTTGGGCTGTGGACAGATCCCGAGCTCACAACTGCATTACAAAAGGGAAACGGAAGCCAGGGCTTGGACCAAACAACACAGGCGCGACTTGGGAACTAGGCCGAAACCATAAAACTCATCGTAACCGGCTTGCTCCTGGAAGAACTCCTCATCAGCAGGATCCGCTTCATCTTCTTCAGCAACTGGGGGGGTTATTTATATAGAGCAAGGGTGAGTACAGGAGTACTCAGCAAGCCAGGGGAAATAAGTGTTTAATGCAGGCTTCAAAGAAAGGCTGGTATTTTTGCAATTGATTTTATTTGAACTCTTTTCTGAAACAACTAAGTGGGTGCTTCTCAAACGACACGGTTGAGACAGTGTGTCCCGTCCGGTCGGAGTATGTGCAATGTATCAGTCTTTAAATCTTAAAACAAGGTTGGCACCCGGCCAACAGCTTTTCAACGGCCACCCGGGCCAACAACTTTTCAAACGGCCACCCGGGCCAACAACTTTTCAAACGGCCACCCGGGCCTAGCTGATCCCGTCAGCTACAGATTTTTCAAACATCAAACCCCTTTTCACAACAGCAATTTCACAAGCAGTAGTCAAACAAAACTACGCTAGGAATCACCTCACATCCGCCCATGACCGTGGGCACGGCTGTTCGAACAGTTAGTTAACCTCTGCAGAGGGGGTACACTTTACCCACACGACATTACTAACCCGGATCACCCAGCCCGTGGGGATCAACCACGTCGGGAGACCTCCAAGCTTTCATGACAAGGCATTTCCAAAGCCGACACAGGTTTACCATATGCCGACGAGAGGGGTCCCAGACCAACAACAGGTTAGGTCCCAGACCATACTGTGCCAGGAAGCCCAGGGGTCCTCCCCGACACCACCCCGGCGAATCCACATGTCTCTCGGCATCATGGCTCCCCTGATAAGCTAGTTACTCAGCCAGGGGTGTCCCATTCCACCCATGTGGTCGTACTTGTCTTATGTTCGGATGAAATTCCAAGGAATCGGTCCTTAAGTGCGGGAGCGGGAAAACCGTACACCCGGTACGTTCCCCGGTCCGCGGTTTTAGAAATTCATTTAGTTCGCAAGCACCGACCCAGGCGTCGGGTTTTCCAAGTCTTTTGTAAAACCCAAGTTTTACCCAAGTTGTTTTTCAGATTTTAAGTTTGAAGGCGACCGTCGATACTCGCACAGAGTGCACGAATATCGAGGCGCAACTGGGTGGTTACAAGGGGACATGGTATAACAATTAACAAAGGAAGGATCAAATTCAACAAATTAGGCAGGTCCGCCAATCTGCCTTGCAGACGGGACAACCGATTAAGTGCGATCCTATCAATGCATAATATTTTGCAAGCAATATAATTAAATTTCAAATATAGGCTCAAGATGTTCAAAGGTGGCTTGCCTTGCTCGAGATCCGGAGCTTGATCCTCGAAATCCTCGCACTGCGGGTCTTCGGGCTCCGAAACTACACGCGAAACGGGACAACTCAACAAACGGCGAAAATAAAGCCCTATTAATGACCTCTAAGCGTGCCATTAGATAGATCTCGAGATTTGGGGAATTTTGGAAGTTGAACGGAGTCAATCGGATTTACGGTTGGGAAGATATTGAATTTTTAATATTATTGGATTTTTGGTCTGAAGGAAAAAGGATTTATTTAAACCCTTTTGGAAAAAGAAAAGGATGAGGGAGGGAAGATAGACTTTTCCTCGGGCGGCTAGGGCGCGGCCCAAGGGAAATGGAGCGGTCCGGCCGAGTTAACTGGGCCGGACGGCCCAAAAGACGGCCCAGAACGCGCGCGGGCGGGGAAGAGAGAGGGAGCCGGTGAACCGGGCTCACCACGCGTGGTCCCGGGTGGGACCCGCTTGTCAGCGGCTCGGCTCACCGTGCGGAGGGAGCACGCGGCGCACGCGCGCGGGCGGGGAGGGACGCAGTGCACAGGCGCGGTTCGCGGTGAACGCGGATGCGGCGGGCCCACGCGCAGCCTCACGGCTCGCGGTGGAACGCGCGCACGGGAGGGGCTGACCGGGGTCGGCCCGTCCCGTCCTCGGCTGAGCTGGCGCCGACGTGGCGCCTACGTGGCTGCCACGTGGGCTAGCGGGAGGTAGACGACGACGCCGGCCGGAACGGACGGCGGACGACAGCGGCGAACGGTGGAGCGAACCACGGCGATACAGGCGAAAGCGAGCACACCGGGTGGTTGCACAGGACGAGGGGAGACGAGCCAACGGCTCGGATTCGCCGGAGGGAGCTTGACGGCGGCGAATCGCGGCGGCGACAACCGGCGGGGAGGGAAGAGGGAAACGGCGACGAGGCCACGAGGGGTCGATTCCCGGCGGTGAGAGCATCTATGCGGCTACGGGAACTCGATGCTAGCGTCGGATTGGACGGAGCTACGCCGAGCGAGGCTGGCGACGTGCGGGTGCTACGGAGCTCGAGCGGCGACGGCGGCGAGCACTCGGCGAGCGACGGCAACGGTTGGGGCGGCGCCGGCTAGCTACGGGGAGTCTACTCGTGCTACCACCGAAAACTAAGGGGGGGAGATGGAGCGAGGAGGAAGAACGGAGGGAGACACTACCGTGCGGGACGGGGCGCTGTGACGAGAGGCCGACGGCGCGGGAGTAATCTCTCCGGCCTCGGGCCGGGGAAGAGGAAGAAGAGGGCGCGGCCGAAGTCCCCTTCCGCATCCTCGAACGCACCGGTTCTCCCGGCGCCTGGCGAAGGACGGCGGAGGCGAGACAGAGCACGGGGGCGGCGGCAATGGCACGGAGGCGAATGGAAGAGGAAGGGAAAGGGGAGGCTGGGGTTTAAATGGGCGGCAATGTCGGTTTGGGAACCGACTTGCGCGGTCAAGGGCGCGAGCTGGCGCTCGGCGGTCGCGGCCAAAGTGGCGACAGGGAGGATGACGCCGGCGAGGAGGAAAAAGGGGAAAAGGAGGGGGAGAAAGGGGGCTTGCCCCTTTGCCGATTCGGGAAAAGGAGGAGGTGAGCGGGGGCGCGCGGCTGAGGGAGGAGGGAGGCCCTGCCTCCGTCCCTTGGAGGCTAGCGCGGGAGTGGCGGGGCTGAGGCGATGACGACGGCGATGACGGCGGGGCGGTTTGGAGCGGAGCGGCGACACTGGCGACAGGCGCGTGCAGAGACTGACGGCGGCGGCGACCGGGCGGTCGGCCACCACGGCACGCGCGCGCGGCTTGCAACGGGAGGCGTGGCGGATGGAGTGGCGCGGCTCGGGCACGCGCGCTGGCTCGCGGGGCCAAGCGGCTGCGCGGCTGCAGGCGGCAGGGCAGCGGGACCGGGCGGCGCAGACGCGACGCGACACGGGCGGCAACCACGCGGGCGCGCGCGCGAACGAGCGCGGGGAGCGGCAGTGAGGGAGCGGAGAGGGAAGACTCGGCTCGGCGCGGGCGGCTCACGCGCACGCGCGCGGGGGGGGAGGGGCACTCGGCGCGGCGACGTGCGCTCGCGCGCGCGGCGCGGGGCGGAGCGGAGGGAGAGAGGGAGAGCGGGAGCGGGAGCGCGCCGGGGGAGAGAGCGAGAGAGAGAGGGGGCGCCGGGGAGAGAGGGGAAAGGGC